GGCAACGATGGATTTCGTGCCAATTCCTTAGGATAATCCTTAGGAAAGAATGAACGAGGAATAGCTAATTCTTAGGGTAAATCCTTAAGAGTAAAGAAGATAATAGGGATGGGTAATTGGGTTAATTGTTTGATGATTAAACATAATAATTATATTATTGTGGGTTGAAAAACCCTATGTACTCACTAGGTTTCCCAACCTGACTCACTCCAACTTATTTCAATCACAGGTGTCGATATGAAGCTACTTTACACTGAGAGATTTATAAGAGATGTAGATCACTAGTGTAAATGAATGTAAGTTCTGTTTATGCTTATGTTTCTGTATTGACGATGACATCCCAAATGTTTTGAAAATGAATAAAAATACATTTCTTTAGAAATGCTTTGATAACGTATTTATCATGTTTTTCCGGGAACAAATTCCGCAACACATTTCTTTAAAAGGGTACTCTGATTTTTACAAAGCATAAACAAAATCGGTCTTTTCTGGCCGTGAAAATGGGGATGTCACATCAACCATAAATTTAGACCTAACAGTTAGGTAAAGGGTAAAATAGTGTTTTACCCTAGTTTGGACTCTTAGTATGAGTCGGGTTCCAATTATTAATTGGATGTTATTTTATGATGATAGTGCGGGGATTTTTCAGACCAGCAGCTAGAGATTTATCTGTGAGATTCAACAGTTTGATGTGAGTCTTCCTCACCATGGTTAGCGGGTAAAACGCACCAATGCCAACCCATGGTTTATTATGTTAGGGTGCTAGATGTCTGCGTGACTCTTCCATGTGTATATGTTTGTATGCTTAGTAGGCGGGCCCAATAGGTAATATGTATGCTATTGTTTGTTATACTTGTATGTTTGTATGCTGGACGGGGCCCGTCGTGAGAGTTAGGGAGAGGCCCATTATACTCAGTGGGTGCGGCCCATTATGCGAGTTAGGGCGAGGCCCGTTATACTCAATGTGCGGGGCCCGTTATACGAGTTAGGGCGAGGCCCATTATATGTTTGATATATTTGGTATTATGTATTTAGGGAAACTCACTAAGCTTTATGCTTACAGTTTTCAGTTTATGTTTCAGGTACTTCTGGTGCAAAAGGGAAGAGCTCGGGGTGATTGCAGTACACACACGATATTTTTCCGCAGTTCATGGTAACTCTAATATTTTATGATGTTTTGATACATTTGTTCCACTTGGGATTTATGATGATGTTTTGGGATATTAATTGAAAAATGAAATTTTTGGGTCTTATTTTTGGGACGTCACAACTACCCGAAGTAATTTGGAGCAGCAGACTTCGAGGACGAAGTCTGATTCAAGTGGGGGAGAATTGTAACATTCAAGTTTCGGGTAAGTTCTTCTTGTAGTCCTTAATGCTAATTTGTTATCAATTTGGTCCTTTGCTAGTACGCGGGACATACTCTATGAGTACGCTTAGCGTACTAGCCATCTGATGGCCGTGCATTCCACCCACATACACGAGGCGTACGCAAGTCTGGTACAAACCCTAATTTTTAGCATTTGTCCCCTATTTAAACGTGTTAAACGCATCTCTTGGACATTTTAGACCAGCCTCCACCTCCCCTCGTCTCAGAAATCGAAACCCTAAGTGTGTTAGTGAGTTTTTGAGCTTGATAAAGAGATTTTTGGTGTCTTAAGGTGAAGAAGAAGAAGAAGAAGAGAAACCCTTGGAGAAGTAGATTGAGCTTGTGGGTCCAGGATCACTTTCTCATTTGCAAGCTTTTTGAGGTAAAAAGCTCACACCTTTATGTTCATTTATGATAGATCTTCTATATGGTGTTTCTTGGGCATTTTTTAGCCTTTTATGTTAAAGGTGGGCTTTTGATCTACTCCAGAAGTAATGGATGTTAGATCTTAGCTCCATTCAGTCCACATGATCATAAAAATGAAAACTTTATGGAGTATTTTGACCCATGCATGTATTCAGACCTTTGTTAAGCTCTTTTTGAGCTCTTGAGCCCCATTAAGCCAAGCATGCATGTAAAGTTGCCAACTTTACGTGATAAGTCACCTTTAGGGACCAGATCTGAGAGTTTGGATAAAGGACTTAGCGGTTTAAGTGCTTAATGGAGTAAGATGGCACACTGGGGAGTACGTAAGACATACCCAACTGGTACGATGCACGTACTAGCCCCAGATGGAGTACGCTAAGCGTACGAGCTAAGTACGCCCCGCGTACTCAGCAGATGGGCTTTTGGGCTTAACGTCCTCGGTATTGGGCCATAGTGTGGATTTGGAAGTTTGGGCCTAGATTAGACCTTTGTTTTGGGCTTTGGGCTAGCATGTTGGGCTTCCTTAGATTTTAGGCCCAAGATGGGTTTTGGGCCCAATTTGGAAGATTGGGCCATATATTGGACTTTAGGATTTGGGCCTTTGAATGGTTGAGTTGGGCCTTGGTTTTGAGCCAAGTTAAATAAAGGGTAAATTGGTCTTTTACCCTTGTTATGGGCCAAATAGCTTAGACTTTTGGTTATGGGTCGGAATCCAATTAATAATTGGATGTTATTGATTTTGATAGCGCAGAGATTTTCCGGGCCAACAGTCACAGATTCATTCGAGTGATTCAGCGGCTTGACGTGAGTTTCATCATTGTGTTTAGCGGGTCGAATGCATCAATTTCGGTCCATGGTTTATTATGTTAGGATGCTAGATGTCTTCGTGACTCTTGCATGTGTTTTGTGTTGGTATGCTTACCGGGCAAAGACCGATGCCGGGCGCGACCCGATGACTGTACAATATGATATTATCAAGGTTGCAGAAATCGCTCGACGGTAGCTCGGCGGTCAACTGGGGTCAAGGGATTAATCGGCTAATCGGGGATTAATCGGGGGATTAATCGGGTACCATTAATTAATAATAAATTATTAAAAATTTAATAATATATATATATATATATATATATATATATATATAACATTAATCCTGAGAATATAACATTAAATACAACATTAATAAATATAACATCAAAAATTAAGGTAAAATATGGGCTCAAAATACCAGTAACAATCCTACATCGAAGCTGTGAACACTCTATCAATGAAAACATACTTTATAAAAGGGAATCCTCTATACAAAAACAAATGCAATTATGTTTTAGGCAAGCCAGCTCCTTTGAGTTGGTGGGACCTTTAGAGTTAGTTGGACCGATTAGGTCCGAGTTGGACCGATTTGGTCCGAATTGGGCCGGAATTGACCGATATTGACCAAGGCCGCCTAGCCTAACCCTCTAACACCTATTCGTAGGCGGTTGGAGGCCGCCAAGTGCCTAGGCGCCGATTAATCGGCCGCCTAGACCGATTTTTACAACCATGGTTATTATATTTGTGATTATCGCATGTGTTTGTATGATTATATGTTTATATGTATACCGGGCGGGGATCGATGCCAGGTAGGGCCTGATGACTGACATATCTGTATACCGAGCGGGGCTCGATGTCGGGCGGGGCCAATTATGTGTTTATTATGTATGGTATGTGGTATTTTGGGGAACTCACTAAGCTTTATGCTTACGATTTTCAGTTAATGTTTCAGGTACTTCTAGTTCGAAAGGGAAGAGCTCGAGATGATTGCAGAGTACACACCACCTTATTCCACATTTTGTGACTTACTTTGATGTTTTATGATGTACTGATACACTTTGTTCCACCTTGGTTTCATGATGATGTTTTGGATTACAGTTTTATTAATTTAAAAATGAAAATTTTTGGTCTTATTTTTGGGATGTTACATGAACCATCAAACCACAAAGCAAAATTGATGCAGAGATCCAAACCAGAAATTCCGAAATCAAAATCAATGACGAGATCGATGTTGAAATCCCAAAACATGTAGAATTAGACCTCTAGAAACCACCCCCTTCATCTTTCACTCTTCATTTCTTATGTTACTGATCGGAAAAGAAAATAACAAAGAGACACAAAACACACACATACTCACCTTGTGTGTGTGTGTGTGTTGGTGCGATACTAAGAAAGAGGGAGAAAGAATAACGAAGAGACCACCATCGCCAGAGCTGCAATAGAGGGTTATTGATCTGTACTCCGACGAGAAACCCTATCTGAAAACCATCTGCGTTAGCAACAATGAGAATCGGACCACAAGATACTGAGAGGGAAAGATAAATGAAGTAGGCAGTTGGACGTGAAGAAGATACATATCTACTTATGAGGGTAAGATCCGGCAGCAGTGGTCCGATAGTTGGCGGTGATGTTGATTCTTCATGTTTTCAATTGATTTTAAAGAAAAAGATGGAGATTTATATTAGGTTAGGAATCTATTTTTTATATATAAATACAAAATAAATCATAAATAGATTGAAAAAAATAATAGTATATAGACATTCTATGTTCGGGAAGGAATGAAACGTGTAAGTTTAATACAAACGAAGAACGGTCCGAGTTAATTTTTTAAAATAATGACTAAAGGTGCATTTTGAGACTCGAACCAGGAACAAACCATGTCATTTACTCCAACTTTTTAATGGGTTGTAGTCCACCAAACGATGGTGATTTTTTTATGAGCTCCTAAGAGTGTCTTACTCTATATTGGGTGAGAAAATTATTGGCCATTTTTTATTCACTAATGTCATGTTCAACATATTTAAACTTGTAAAGATGTTTGTACGAAATCAGTTCATCTTCAACATTTATTGCCTAAAGCGGCAACCGAAGTGAGCAAATACCCAATTTCCTATACTTGCACGTAACAGGAGAAATATGTTCCCAATATAAGTTTCTATATATAGAATGTTAGACTTTCCCTTTTTTGTTATTAAAGCCACCAACATTTAAACTGAATAATTCATATCAAACTTATCATCAACTTTATCTTGTAAAAGATATACAACAAGTACATGTGTACATACATGTTGATACATAAATATATAATATATATGACATCATATTTGTTGAACTTTGTTATTTCCAATAACATATGTTCACAAATGTTTTCATAACATATGAATTAACATATAGTTTAATAATCCACAAAATCTTAATACAAATTGTTATCAAACACCCAAGGTTCATGCTTGAAAAGTTCTTTGCCATTCATTTGAACCAAACCTGCAGCAATGTCTGCCTCCCGTTTCCTTGATGCCTCAGCTTTCTTGGCTGATGCTTCCGCTTCCTACAAAACAAGCAACAAAGCAAGGGCATAATGGTCATTTTTGTTCATTGTTAGATTCTCAATGTTAAAAAGATTATCTAGGTTACAGAAGATATGATCAAACAAACTGATCTTGTTGCCAATTAGAATTTTGGTTTTTAGTGTAGTGTTTTCTTAGGTATCTTTTCCTACACAGGTTTTCTACTTTACACTTTTGCAAGAATGTTGGTTGTCCAGATATGAAGTCTAAACTAAAATCCTGCAAAACTGTAATCATGGGGTGTTTAAATGTGTGTTTTCATAATCAACTCCTGTCACATGTATAATCCGATGCACAATCTGTTTATTCTTGCCCTAAAAATTGATTTTTCCAATTTGAGGTCATAATTAGTTCCAAATGCACACCCAAAAACAGCTTAAACTGAGTAATCCAGCTTGACAGATCCAAAAACCCTTGCACATAATTTCCATATCCCCAAATTGATTGAAAGTTCTTGTTATAGAAACTGCAGAAATTAGATATGATTATATGAATTTGGAGGAATCGTTTTAATATATAAAGACCACTTAATTGATAAATGACTAAAAAACCCACGAACAACGATAGAAAAGTGCAATTCGATCGCTAGAACTTGAGGGAGAAAGAGAGGGACCTTGTGGGTTTTCCATGAGAGGAACTGAGCTTGTGTCAATGGGACGGAGGAACTTGGACCTGAGTTCTTGTTCGCTTCGTCTTCTTGATGTTGTTCTTCTCCCATAGTTTCTCGTCGTTCGTCGTTGCGTTGTGTTTCTAGGGTTCTACCAAATGTATTAATTGACCCGAAAAGATAAAATTCACAAACTTTTACTTTTGTACCCAAGAAAAAACAAGAGTAAATTACACTAATTGTCCTTATAGTTTGGAGCAATATGAGTGTTTAATCCTTATATTTGTTTTTATTGAACGATGGTCCCCTTTGTTGAGAGTGTTTAGTTTTTGCTGTTAATCCTTAGTAAAATGACAATTTTACCCGTACGTCTAAACTTTTAATTATTATTAATTTAATTTGTACCCACTGATAAACTATTAAAATATTAAAATCCCTATCACGAAATCCACCTCACAGCCACAACCCACCCTACACGACCTAAGAATTGTCTAACTCATCATTTACGTCACCAAGACTTATCATTATCATTGTTTCCCCTCTTTCATAAATAACAAACCAACTTCTAATTTGTATTTATTAATAGTTGGTAAATAATAAATATTTATACATTATAAAATTATTATTATTATCTAGTTCTTTTTATACTTCTAAGTGTGTAACCACATTGATCCATATATGAACGACATCATAGTTAATTTCTTTTTCTTCTTACACACTAATTCAAACAAACTCTTACTTGTACAAACGAACAACAAAAGCTAACTGGACAAACAAGCAACATTCCACTACCCTTGGACATATGCGAAACACTTGTCATTTACAAAGAATTTAGTGGTTGACGATTCTTAGTCTAATTACCCATTTGATATGATATATATATAGAGCTATATCATGAATTGAAAAGCAACGTACTCTACATGTGGTTGTCTTGATCTATAAAATGAATGATAAGAATAGGATTCATTTAAGTGTGGGCACATGCTCCGACATATCCATGCATTAAGGGGCCTATTGATCTAAAACTCTAAACCAGTTGAAGGAACGAATCCCATGTTGACATATTTGTGTTCTCCTGAGTTGCACGTCATATATGAAAATAACTTTTATAACTGTCATGATTAGGATCATCGTTTAACGTACCCTTAAGTTATGACACTTAGTTCATCCAAAAACCAAAAAATATTCTCAAATTAAAAGACATAAAGCTTTAGAACCATTTGTTCAAGGTTCATTCAACGACATAGATCCATGAAGTGCAACCTTGAAGTGGATCATTTCCAATATTCTATCAATTATGAATATATGTGGTTTTGGATCTTCCACTACAATATATCAAACTCATCAATGTCACAAAACATCACATTATCCATACCTCATAGCCACGTCAATAACTATGAAATTTAGAAAGCGATTCTCATCTCTTTCATGAAAAAAGCATGATAACATGGAGCACGATAACCACTTGGGTTGTGGTGACTTGGTAAGGCATGTGGAAGATATGGTGGACAACCTATTGACTCGTGTTCAAATCCTGACACCACTCAGCCCTTGTGGCCATGGAGGTTCGCCTGTAGTGACTCCAGAGCATGAGACAAAGCCTCATGTTTGCAGCGGGGGATTAGTCGGTGCGCGAAAGCTGGTCTGAAAACCCTCATTAGGGAAGTTCCTTTTCCAAAAAAAAAAAAAAACATGGAGCACGATGATGTTTGACGAGGACAATACACCATGTGCACTAATTCACTAAAATGAGACATCGCCACTTAATGTCTTATACCCAATTATCAAATCCTTAATATGGTGATTTCACTACATCAACATAATAACTCCAACGTATTTGGCAACCTTATGCCTAAAAAGACACGATATTAAAATAGTGGTCGATGATATCACTTGAAATGACTTTTTAGGAATTACTACCTTTATTTTCTTACATTTACCATAAATGTCACAAATAAAGGATAATGTTGATTTTTCATAAACCGTTCCTCGTATGTAAGTGTTTCAAGGAAGTACATACATGCTTCTAGACATACTCCAATTGTTCAGGCAACTCCTGTCTTCTATGGGATAAATGAACTCTAAAGAATTATATTCTCATCCAATGCTTTAACACATTGAATGATAGACGTAGCACATGACATGTCATTTGTGGTAGACTTAGTGGAAGAGGTGTCTACCCGTCCATTTACCTTATCCAATATAGTATTAATGACATGTTACATTGGTGTGACGCTATAAACTATATATCATATTAAATCAGGGAAACCAAGAGTGTTCCCACTAACTCTAATGAAAGCATACAACTCTTCTTCATAAGGTAGGATTGACTTGTTCGATCTTCTTATGAAGGTTGTAAACATCATTAAGGTCTATAAAGCTCAACCTACTTTACAATCAGTGGCGAATCTAGACCAAAAAATCACGTGGTTCCCAAATTAAGTGAAGCCACTAAAAAAAATCAACAACACTTGTGTGGGGCTGGGTCGGGTCGGATCGTGTAACTTAAAAAAACTGGACCAATCAGTTCAACCTATTAAAACCGATCATGCACCACCGATTAAAAATTTTAAAAAACCGATTGAAATATAAATGACAAAAACCGTACGTTTTAATGAAAAACTAGTTAATTATTAGTCCATTGATAAAGCGGTGAACGGAGAGTGAGAGTCTTTGGAATGTGGACTTCTTTTTATCAGAACGATTTATTTATTTATTGATATTTTGAGAGTGCCGATTAAGAGTGGTTAATTTTTTGTTATCAATCTCATAATTTAAAATCACAAATTGACCCAAGTAACTTATTTTTTTCTCATTTTAAAATGATTTTTAAGACATTTTTTAAAAAACAAACTCAAGGTAGATCATTTATATTTTCTAAGGTAGTTCCTAATTTTTCTAAGATATATATTGTAAATGAAATTGAAAATTTAAGTAGGTCCTAGGACCTACCTAGTGGCTTGGTAGATACGCCCCTGTTTACATTAGGATCTATTTCAATTATCAAAGTCAAATATGACATTAGGATCTCAGTGACTATTGTGCTTGTAACATGAGAGGAATAATATCCTCAAGCTGACACTTGGGTAAAGGGATCAAATTGTGCTTGTAACATGAGAGGAATAATATCCTCATGCTGACACTTGGGTAAAGGGATCAAATTGTGCTTGTAACATGAGAGGAATAATATCCTCAAGCTGACACTTGGGTAAAGGGATCAAATCGGTTCAACCCTTGCAAAATCAGTATACTCTTCATACAAATTTTTTTTATCTCTAAAGGATTGTTGAATCTTAGAAGAAACCCTCATTTTTAAGAGGGGTTCAACTATATGCTATACAAGGTTGCTTATCATGGAACTACTCTTGCATTCATAGTTCCTAACCAATAACCATATATCAACTTCTAGAGCTGATAAAGTCAAAGGAGATTCTAATTTCCTAGTTTGGTCTGAATGACTTGTAAGAAATCGAATGCATGGAGGTTTTCCATCGTGCCTCTGTTCATCAAACGTATATATCTTAGTATGCTAATGTTAGTGACTATGGAAGGTGTAATACAATGTCTAAAGACTCTACACTTTGGATCCATTTATGGTTTTGCTAAGTCTGCCACTTAACTTTTTGCAAAAAAAAGGATGCAAGAACAGTTATTACATAGAACAATATCAAGAGGTTCACTTGCATTGTATTAAAAGATGTGATATGTACAAGGACATTAGGTTCAAAAATTGTCTTGCGAGATCTTCGATTAAGACATTGCCTATTATGTAACTCTCCTAAAACCATAACAACTTCTATGTATCCATAGACTCATTATCATTCAAAAGAACACGTCACAAAATAAATAAAGTAAAATTAAATGAGAATATCGTACACACACAATCTTTTGAGAAAAATATCAAGAGAAAAGCATAAAACATATTATTATGGAGATCAAACATCGTGAATCTTATACTCTTAAGCAAGTAAACTTTATGTCTCCACACAAAAAAACAAAAAGAGCAACATTATTCACAATTTCCCGATCATAGTTTCATACATAACCTCTATACCTACGCCATCATAGGCACTGATCCACCCGCTTGCAAGATTTGTTGCTCAAGCTGCATTTTCAAGAATATATCAAAAGATATTCTAGTGCATAGTGGGACTTAGATGGATCCCACTATATTTTTATTTTTCTTGTTATACATAAAAAAATAAACACAAATTTGTGTACAAGATTCAACCTTAAGGTTAAAAAATCTCATTAAAATGGTAAAACTTACATTGAACAAGGCTTCGAGTTTGTTCCTTATAAGGATGTATTCATTTTTGGCTTGTTGCAGACATAGGACACACCTTCAGTTATCAAATTAATATATTTAGCCAACAAATTAAAATTGCAAAAAACATCTTTTCAACAAAAAATATAAAACATCATTTATTGTTTTTTCTTTCATCTCTATCGAGAATTACAAGAATAATTACTAACCCATCAAGATTTTTCTCATCACAATAATTTCTGAAAACGACACAAACATTCTTCACTCGTTGTGCACCTATGCTGTCACAAATCAAGAAACATAAGTTTTATAAGTCTTCTTAAACTAAAATTACTAATTTGCCCATCACCATAAAACCCAAACGATTCCCTTGGTTTGACTAAAAGTCAAACATGCCAAATCAGAGTTTGCAAAACGAAAAAAAATAAAATAAAAATATCATGCGACTTTTGGTGAAATAATACCTGGAACTACTACCCTTAAACTGGTGCACATGAGCATCTACTTGTTTATAATCAATATTCTCCTGCTGACTGTTTAATAAAAATAAAAAGTTACATCAACAAAAATATTTCAAGAACCATAAAAAAACAAGAAAAAAAACTCACAGAGCAGTAGCCAAATTGTTGAGAAGCTTTTCAGAATCTTCAAAGAAAAGTGTCACGACTTCAACAACAAAATCTGGGTTGCTTTCATCTTGCAGTTTCTGAAGCTGTGTAAATTGATCATCAAGATACCCCTTTAAAACACCAGAAATGACATATTAGATGGACTTTACAAAATCTTTTACAAATTAAGTACCTTTTCCAAGATTCTTTCAAGTGAAAAACAAAAACTAACCTCACGATATAAAGATGTTGTGTATTCGACAAATTGTCTTTGCAATTGAGTGATAGCATCCATGATTGCTTCTTCTTTTATCAAGAACACCCTATTTTGTCAATTGGCTGTAAATATACAAGAATGATTTAATAGTTTTATAAAAGTAGTATAAATTCACTAAAAAGATAGAGTGAATATTGAAAAACGACTCAATTTTTGCTTTCTTTTCTTGTGCTATTTAACGATAAGCAACACCACATACATTGTCTTTTTCACAGAATCGTATACTGAAATTCTGTAATAATTTAAGTCCACCATTGATGTTCTGTGGGACACCACACCAAAGACCATGCTTATTGGCTTTTTATAATCTTGAAAGATTTTGCGATTCTGTTAAAGATTTCGTTTTTTTGGTTTCTTTAAATTATCTCGATGCTCATAATTTTCAACGATAAACACCATCTCCGTTTTTGTATGTAATAAAGTTATCTTCTTTCTAGATAAATTTTGAAAAATCGATTATGCCATTCGATGAATTTGTTCTGAAATAGTGTTATTCTTTATAAATTCATGAAAATTGTTTATGAAAACGAACATCTATCAAGAATCAATCTAAAGAACTTTATAGCAAAGACAAGTTGACAAATTAGAGAAAATTGTATATAAATGTGCCCCACAAGACTTTTCCAGATACAACAAATTAGAGAATTTTGTTTCAATGTGGACACCGATTTTTTACTTATATTAAGAACTATTCTTGGTCATCAAAATTTTCAAATATATACTATGAATTTTGAGGTTGAAAAGCAAATATCTTGACCTAAAAATTGAGGTCTAGAAATTATACGAAACCTAGAGGACATAAAAAAACGAGAAAAAAAAAATAACCCCATTAAATTCAAAAAGAGAAACAAAAGGGGATCTTGATAAAGTTCTTATCATTAATAAGAGCATTTATTCCGTTTCCAAATCGACACTAATGAACCCCAAAACACCCGATTTTCAAAACTATAAAGAACCCCAGAAGACTAATCAACCAATTTTTCAAGTAATCTCCTAGAAAAACATCTACTTTCACGATAAATTAAGCAAAAAAACGAACAGTTTTTGGTTTTTTGTTACATGTAATACACTGTAGGAGGTTGGAAAACTTACCGAGTGATGTTGAGGATTCCGGCGACGATGAGTGTCGGTGTATAAAGGCGCAAAAAAAGAGATTGAGAGGGTCTGGGCTAAAGATTTGATGTTGTACCAACTACGAACCACACAGCAGAGCAGAACACAAGAAGGTGGGGGCCGTACGACTATCATATCATTCATTTGATGTTTTAAAAACCCGTTTTTTAGTTGAATAGGTATGGTGATCGGTTCCCCACTCAATCGGTTTAACTGGTTCGACCGCTGGGTTAATCGGTTTAGGGCGTGTTTGGCAAAAGTAGCTGTTAGCTGGAAGCGGGTAGCGGTTAGTTGGTAGCGGGTAGCTGGTAGCGGGAAGCTGTAGCTTTTATTTGTTATATGAGTATTTGACAAAAGTAGCTGGTAGCTTTTGAAATATATAAAATTACATAAAAGGACAATTGATTAAAAAGAAATAAATATATAAATATATTTTTAAGGGTAATTATGGAAATTGATTTCAAAAGCTCAGTAATGTTTTGTTAAACGCTACATGAAGTAGCTTTTACATTTGGAGCGTTTTGTTTAAACTAAAAGCTAAACGCTCGTACTGCCAAACGAAGTTTTTTGTTTAAAATAGAGCGTTTTGTCAAAAGCTTACAGCTAGAAGCTCTCAAACGCTTCCAAAAGCTCCGTGTCAAACACGCTCTTAACCGGTTCGACCGCCGCGTTAACCGGTTTCTATAATATTCATTTTTTTCTATTTTCTTTTATACATACATACATATATAAATCATGAATTTTATGTTTAAAAGTTCAAACATTAAATATACATATAAAAATAAGTTGTGGATCAATCCAAATAAATTAAAATAACAAATAACCATAAATTTTAGTGTTTTACATTAATCCATATACATCGAAAAGAAAATAAAATATAATACCGAAATAAAATATAGTTTTAGATGAATACAAACACATCAAAAAACTTTATAACATTTATCATATGTTTTTATTTAGAGAAAACTAAATAGATTTGAAAAAAGTCACCAAAGTTTATTATGCAAATGATTCATTTTTGTGTATTATTATTCGGTTCAACCGGTTTATTTTGACCAGTTCAACCGTGTTTTTCTAAAAACCGGCCGGTTCAGTCCGATTCAGAAATCAACGTAAAACCGGTGATAGTTGAACCGTTCCCTCCCCGGTTCCTGGTCCAACCGGTTCGACTGGTCGGTTCAAACCAGTTTTTTAAACATTGTTAATTAGGAAATGAAAATATAAGACAAAAGGAAGACATGTACCCACCCTATTAAATTTTCATGAGAGGTAAATTACTTGTTTATTTATATTTTATCATTGATTATTTTTTAGGGATAATGATTTATAAAGGTAATATATTTTTTATTCGTATATATTTGGTTATTGAATTTTTTTTTTTTGTCTATGACCATTTAATTTGTTTTTTTTTCACATTCAGTTTTTATAACCGGCTACTCTACATTAAGATAGAAAAATGACTTAATAGAGTAATATATCCAGTTTGTACATATTTAACCCTTAATATTTTTGTACACATTTAATTCTTATGATTGGTTTCTTTATATTTTGCTTATGACATCGTACATGCGACAATCATTAATGAGGTGTTCTCATATGTGGCTCGTCCTTCACTTATATCAATTCATAATTTACAATTCGGTCAAATAATGTTAGTACCCTAGTTTTCTCCAAGCTATTGATGTCTTCGTCTTAGACTTCATTGTAACACCCGCAGATTCGGTCTATTCAATTAAAATAGAATAAACTATAAAAATGACACTTTTATAGAAGATTATTTAGGGTAAATAATCTTAAACAAGTTAAAGTATATGTGACAATGATTCTATACATATAAAGAACGCTGAAATCCGACTTCGTATGAAGAAGTTATGCTTCTTCGAAGTTTCGTGATTAAACCGACACGACTCTACGTATCATAAAAAGTGAATTTCTGATAAATTACTTTTTAGCCTAAGTGATCTAAAACGAAAGTTGTAGTAGTCGTTAAACCGAGAGCATGCATATAAAGAACATCCAAATCTGACTTTGTGAGAGGAAGTTATGATTTTTCTAAGTTTCAGCGCAACAGTGTGAGCTCAGATGTGACAACCGTCAATTTCTAGTCAAGTCAAAGTCAAATAAAGTCAACAAGTCAAACCGGTCAACTCATTTAACCCTTGTATATTAGGGTTTACATCGTGCTTACTGTTGTACAATACACCATCGTAATGCAAGTATCACTTTAAGTCTTCCTGTGTTCAGAAAATCTAAACCCTAATCAGAGTAACTGATTGAACAACTCAATAAAACATTAATACATACCCTTCGGGGGTGTATAACGCTCATAACAAGGCAAAACGGGGTTTACAAACCTTGCATTTCAAAGCTAAACACTCGCAAAGGTCACAAATAAAGTCTCTCTCAATCTCTCTCGCTCTATCTCTCTCTATCCCTCTCTATCTCAAATCTCTCCCAAATCTCTCTCATAACCTCCCTCAACTTTTTTTAATCATTCGGGGCATCCCGACCCTTAATATAGTCAAAAACCGCTCGAAACGGGAAGATTTCTCGAAAAACAGCCATATAGGGCCGAAGTCCCTATTAGAACCGAAGCCTCTCTTTAGAACCGAAACTACTCCATAAGGACCGAGACTAGCTTAAGAACCGAACTCTTGAGGACCGAACCTGTCAAGACCGAAACTGCCATGGACCGAACACGAACTTCGGAGGACCGAAGGTCCCTTCGGACCGAACTACCCTTCGCTTCTGATCGCCTCAATTCGCTCCTTTCAGCTTCGGGCCCGAAGGCCTGGTTCGCGCCTCCACCTCGGACCGAGGGCTAGGTTCGGGTCTCACCCTCTAAGGACCCGAACCTTCGGCCTGACTTCGGATTATTACCATTTCTTCCCGGTTTTCGACCCCGATCTCGTTTTAAGCCCGTTTTCGATGATTTTCGCACGGGATTTTCGTATAAATCCATATTTTATTATTTTTAACCTTCCAAGATCATAAAATATGCATAATCTAAGGATTATTATATTAAAACCCACACTTTTCTTAAGAGCAAAGGCAAAGTACAAAAGGTGGAGTGTTGACTTTTCCATAAAGCAAAGACACAAGCTACCTCCCATACTCACTCCATGACATCCTTAGGTCACTATTCACATCAGCCTTATCTACTCATTGTACCCTTATTCTTTTTCAACAAGCTACCTTCACTCTCACCCACTCAAGGAGTCAATACAACTCACATCTCCTAACTCTCTTTCACTTGCACATTAAGCTAAACACTTTTCTCTCTCCACCTCTCTCCAAGATTTCGAGATTCTCCAGGAGTTTTGAGCCTTTCACCCTCTTTTGGTAAGTAAATTTCATCCTTCACCTTATTATCCCATACTTCTTCACTCAAGTCATGGATTTCTCACACAAATATCGTCATATTTGTTGCTAGATCTTCAAATCTTCAAGTGTCTCCCAAGTGTTCTTGACTTGGAAACCTCTCTTCTTCCACCTTCATCTCAGGGAATAACTCAAGGTGAGTTCATACCCCCACATTTTCATGTTTTCTTCAGTTTTAGGGGGGGGGGGGGAATACAAGTTAAAACAACAAAAACTTAACTAAACACAAACATCAGCTTTCAACTGAGAAGTTGAGTTCTATTCACGGACTGTTTTGACAATCTTAAACTTAATATCTTTCAAAACTGTTTAATATGGAAATAGTTCAGGTTCAGATCTTTAAAATGACTACTTGCACATCTCCATACGATTTTTCTACAATTTATGGTGATTTTTACAAAACTGTCTATCATTTCAGAAACAAATTCGGACCAGTCTGTGAATATGAACATTTTCACACAAGTTAGAGACTTCTAAAAATAATAATAAAAATTATGAATAAACTAGACACATTTTATAAACTCTCAGAGTTTGCGGATTCAGTTTTTGACTTCGTATGATTTTTCTATGATTTTCGTAAAGCAGTGCAGAAAGGTTAAAAACTAGTTACATAGCTTACAATATTAACAACACTTTGTAGTATGTTGAGCAAAGTGCATAACAATAAGTTTCTAAATGTTGGATGTATTTCTTGTTAGTTTAGCATCATAAACTGAAATTATTCATTCATGATAAGGTTTTTCATTCATTTCGAACATATATAATAAACTACAATAAGTATAGTTTATGGATTTTACAATAAAAGCATACTACATAAAAAAGGTTTTACTCTCAAATCAAACGAGTTTTTCATATACTACATGATAAACTATAATAATAATAGTTTATGGATTTCACATCACGAAATTATTACATAAAAGGTGATTTCACTTCCACCACGGAAGGGGTTCTATATTCAAACTATATGTAAACTAGTTAACGTAAGTTGTGAGACAATTCTTCCATCGTACTCTTAGAGTACGGGTTTAAATTCCTGTAAGTTATAACCAGAGTCTCTTGTAGGGAGAACATGCTAATTGTGTATATATCTATATTGGGATTGACACCCCACACCTCACTGCTAGCTACAGCAGGACCTGCAGGTCTACGGGTGACAAAAGTCATATGATCTTGACGTCTGAAAAACATTGTTGCAGGTTAATTCTCGTTATAGTATGGTTATAACGACTCACATAGGGAGTTAACAATCTTTCAAGTTTACGGGGAAAATTCTACTTTAAAAGGGGTTTTATCTATTTAAAACTATAAACGTTATAAGTACAAAATACGCACATACTCTCGGCCTTGGGATTTAAGGCTACATAACTTTTTATAGGGAAAATAAGGGATTTTTCTTGAAGTATACATTACAAAGTACCAGGTTTACACAAAATGACTTTTATTCTATTAAAACCACGTTTCATCTACAATTGTTAGACTTCAGCTATAATTGCTAAGTGTACATGTTAGAGTTATATATGAATTTAGTTGCAATAGACTTAGAATTGGTGGGCCCGCCTTACTTCCTGTTCCTTGTTTGGTTGTGGACCTAGGGCAGACCTATTATATTCGACGGTTTATTTAACTTAAATTTTATATAACTTATATACATTGGGTGATTATAAAAGAAATCTACAGGTATTTCTAGGGTACATTATTACATAACATAGGAGCTTTCATTTCACACTTAAAAAAAAA